GGGGGGGGGGGGAGTAATTTGAGGCAGAAGACTGAGGACTATGGGTCCAGATTTCAAATGTTGAGCTTCCCCTCTCCCCACCCACTTCAGGTGTCCAGGGCTCCTCCTGGCATCCCAGAAGAAGGGGAGGTAGAAGTAGTGGTAGAGGCAGGTCAGTAGAGCTATTGGCCATGGCCAGGGAGGGGTTCTTTGTCTCCATGGTGTGGAAGGTAGGGCTGGGTGCCCCCTATTTGCATTTAAGGAGGTTCCCTTATCAGGGGTGGGGAAATGTCCACCCTCCAGCAAAATCATTTTGTCTGGCCCTGCCAAGGCAACCACAGGCGGGACTCAAAATTCAATAAATCTAGGAGCTTTTTTCATAGCTAACTTTTAAGTTGATAATTTTGTATGGCCCTCTAATGATGTTATAAATATCCAAATGGCCCTTGGCAGAAAAAAGATTCCCCACCCTTGCTAGTTAAACAGACTTTGTTTCCAGGGGATTAACTCCTGATGCATCTGGGAGGGCAAGATTCAGAACCATGCAACTGGCCCCAGGTCGCATGGCCTCATGCTCTGCATTTCCCACCCTGTTTGTCCCGAGACGGGACAGAGGAAAGGGTGCCACTATCAGCTTTCCTGTATTTGCTAAAGGTGGAACACTTTGGAGCTATAGGCACCTCTCTTTTAACCCCAAATAGCAGGCATTGTCACCTGACAAGTCTCAGATCACCCCTTCCAGTGGAGATGCAGTATAACCTCCCCTAAGGAGCTCCTGAGCTGGCAGGAACAGACCTCTGCCTGGAACATCACGCACTAGGGTTGGAGACACTGAGATTAGCTAGACTGTGCCTAGGTCATCAGAACACTGTCGCCCATGTTCAGTATCTTGTTCAAAACAGTGGACCCAGGGTGGTCTAGGGCTGTCTCATCTGGAAAGGAGGCTTCCAAGGGAAGAAGGTGGTCAGGTAACAAACTGATGGGTGAAAGAGGGGCTCATTCTGTTCCATGAGGCTCAAGGATTGGAAATAGGAGGGAAGTTACAGGGAATTGGTTTCCTCAGGTTCGACCTAAGAATATTCTTCTACCAGCTGTCCCAAAAGGCCAAGTATGGCTCTGGAGGACATGAGTCCTTGGCACCCAGTCCCTGGTACGCCCCATGCTTGTCAACTTGCAAAGAGTATGTGAGGAGAGAGACATGATGGCATGGCGAGGAGGGTGTGCAGGATCTGCTGCATAAGACATGGAGCAGACCGTTCGTTCCTCACTCCCCATAGGAGTAGCAAGAGCTGAGCAAGGAAAACAGGATACTGATGGTGAAATCATGCCAATTGGACATGGAAATCGGCAGAAAAGCTGAGTAGGTAAAGTCAGGTACTGGAAAGCACTTAATAAACGACAAAGCTTGTGAGTTGAAGCAACAGGAGGCAACCTGGGCTCCTGGGGTGGTTGTATGCAGGAGGGACTGAGTCGGCCAGGAGGCTGCAGTGGTGATAACATTTGGCACACCAGGGAGGGTGAGGCTTAGGGACCTATTGCATGAGGGTAGCTCAGTTTGGGAGTCGAAGGCTTGGGGAAGCAGCAGAGATGGAGAGGGTTAAATTGGCTGTATGGCGTTGGGGTTTCCCAAAGCCCAGCCCTTTAAGGCTTCAGCCCCTTGATCCCTGATACTTGGGAAGTCACAATTAGCCAGCCAGTAGAAAAAATACCTTTTAATTATTAGGAAAAATCCATTCACTTAATGCAGGGTGTGTGCTGGGGAGGTTAGGTACTGCAGGATGGATGAGGGGAACCGTGCAAGAGGAACAGTGAAAAGGGGAGCGGCCTCCACTTTCCACAAACTATAAACAGCAACATGAACACAGAGAATCACAAATAAGGTCCT